AGTTCATGCTTTGCGCCCCCAACCACCATGTAGCAACTGGCCAGGTGAATAAAGGGAAACAGGCAGCACCATCCAAAGAGGTGGTACAGCATTGAAAAGTTCAATCCCTCACCAAACCTGCCCTCCACCCCACAGCGGGTAATGTGTCTCCACATTGCCCTCAGCATGACACTATCTGGTAATGAGTGAATTGATGCAAAGCCCAAGCCTGCTCCTGTTGATTTCAGTGGGAACAGGGTCAAATATGTTGCCTTCAGAAGGACCGTGTGTGTGTGTTTACACTGCAGCTGGGAACATGCTTTCCGGCCTGAGTAGACAGACTTGTGCTAGCTCGGTTCAAGCCAATGTGCTAAAAATAGCAATGTGGACATTACGGCTGGAGCGGCAGCACAGGCTCTCGAGCCCGCCTGACCTCCTGGGTCCAAGCTCAAGTGACTAACCCGATCCTCAGCTGGTGCCACAACATCCACACGACGAAGTTGCATTGCATCCGACGAAGTGGGCATTCACCCACGAAAGCTTATGCTCCAATACATCTGTTAGTCTTAAAGGTGCCACAGGACTCTCTGTTGCTTTTTACAATATCCACACTGCTCTTTTTACTGCACAAGCTGGGCTAGCATGAATCTGTCTACTTGGATTGGGATGCTTGCTCAGAGTTCCAGCATAGATTTACCTTGTGAAACTGCACTGGGGACACTTTGCAACACTGGTCACTACAGGTATGGAGGTGACAGAGGTAGAGGGAAGGTAGCCAAAATTCTTTATTCCATGCTTAATGTGGTGTGGCTTCAAATGAAAATGGAGTCAGATGTTGTCTGTGCACCTTGAGAAACACAACTGGCGGAGCATAGCTCTCAGAAAGGCATGCTATAAGATCCAGAAGAAAAGAAATAAATGCATAGATTTTAAACAACAACAACAACAACAACAACAAAAAAAACCCAGAAGGGACCAATAGATTATCTAGTCCAGTGGTTCTCAAACTTTTTTCTTTGCGGAACACTTGAAAATTGGTGAGGGTCTTGGCAGTCCACTTAATGATCTTTCGAAATGTTGTTTGTACCGTTAGCTAACTATTGTAAAGCACTTTGGATAAAAGCGCTATATAAAAAAAATCTTAATAATAATTCACATTTTTTTGTTCTACAAATAAAAGCACACAACTCATATTTTAATATCAGTAGTTTTATCTTTCTAATGCGATGGATGTGCCCTCTCTCCCACACTGCAGCAGCCCCTGAGCTGGGGCTGGGAAGGAGGGGGGTCTCTCCCCCACCACAGCAGCCACAGAGCTGAGGCTGGGAAGGAGGGCCGTCTCTCTCCCCAGCAGCCACAGCCCTGGAGCTGTGGAAAGTCGCCTCTTTCTCTGGCCGCCACAGTCCTACACATCCCAAATTCCCCCTGCCCCCTCTTCTCACCCCACTGCCCCCTCCCACCTACCCCCTCTTTCCCCCCAAGGCCACCACCTCACCTTACATGTGCGTCTTCTCCAGGGTCCAGGCACCTAATTAGTGGAGCCAAGCCTGCGTGGCTCCACTAATTAGGTGGGTTTGCCCTTCATTCTCTTGTGTGTGACCGCCCAGGCGCACACTTTAGAGGGAACTATCCGCTGACCACCTGAATGAACCTTACAGAACACTGGTGGTCCGTGGACCATAGTTTGAGAATCTCTGATCTAGTCTGACCTCCTGTATAATACAGGCCATAGCATTTCACCCATTTAGTCCTGTCCTGAGCCAAACAACTGATGTTTAACTAAAACATGTCTTTCAAAAAGGCTTGCATTCTTGACTTTTTAAAAGTTTACAACAAGCTGTTCAGAGTTAAGAACTAATTTAACAGCAAATAATCAAAAATGGAATTTAAAGCAATAAATCTCCTATTACTTAGAAAGCTCTGTTTCTTTAGAAGCATAGCAAAAATGTAGCGCAAGCTGGCAGTTTCAAATATTTGTATTTCTACATTTTTAAGGTTGCTCTGTAACTTTTTAAAATATTGATTATAAGGAAGGGCATAATTCTTCACATTGTTTCGCTAAATTGCTTTTATATGTAGGAAAACACTGAGCATCAACTTTCCCCTCATTCATTCAGGTTGCAAAGCCATGAAGAGGTATGTAGAGTATTCACATGCTATTGAAAAGAAAAATGGAGAAAGAAAAATGGACCATTTTTTACTGTAACTTCACTTCAATGTCCATGAATTTAATCCTCTCATCAGCATTCATACCATAAAGCAAAATAAAAATACATCATCATATAGGAGGAAGAAATAATATCCAATATCCAGAGTCTTATTACCCTTCAAAGTTCAATCAAATAACACTCAAAGGTCCAGTTCCGCTAAGGATTCAGAAATTATATGTATATTCTCTAATTTTTCCTCCAGATTACCCTCCAGCGAGAACTCTGACAGATCTATTTTAGTTTTGGTAGAAACAGGAAGAGAATGCAATTGCAACATATTTGACTTCCTTTTAATAAATGCTGCTAATTGGTCTGTATAAAACATATGTATATATGAGCATCTCCAATTTCACTCAGCTCTTAAAAGGAAATAGAGATAATTCAGCTAGTAAGTCTATAAACTGCTGCTTAAAGAGGAGGAACAGATATTGCCTTGCATGAATTGGGAATTTAAAGATCGTTCTCTCCACTGCATAATGTGTTACACTATTGTGATATAGGCCCTGATCTTGCAAGTTGTTCTGATATATACAGAAGAGTGTGCAAAGTTGTGCTCCAGCACAGATTTAAGCTCTAAACAGAGGCTTCCATGCTTGGTGGCAGTATATGTCAAGCCCCTTTGTGACCACTCCCTTCTTTGTGAGTGCACGGGGTAAGAAAGGGGGCAAGGCCAGGGTAGAGAATGAGCATATCTCAGGAGACATGGTCTAAAAAGAAACCTTCATCATGCTAATCAGGAACTTAGGTATGCATTGTCTCTGAGGCTTGACTCCTTCTCCTCATTAATGTGTCACTTGCATTAATGCAATAGTGCTCATCATTGTTTATCTTTGCCTTGGATGTGCAATACTTCACACCTATGCTGTTTGGGATCAGGAACCTAAGCCTGACCTGCAATTTGTTGCATGCAGATTCAGCAGTCCATCCACACACAATAAATTGAAGGATCAGAGTCTTAAAACTTAATTTCAGACACAGTAGCAAAAGTTATGAGCACTGTACCCCTCAAAATCTACTCTGTGCCAAAAGATGTAATAGTGTCACAAACAGCTGAGTCAGTCTCTGGTCTGGTGCCTTCCATCATCTAGATGCACATGTGGCTCCCTTCTTAATTTACAGGGTTAAAAATGTACCTTGTCTAAAAGAACAGCCTTACCTTTTATCAGTTCCCAAGATGGTTTTTCAGTGTCACTAAGAAAATCTGTAGATTAGTATATGTCAAAGAATTTTCTAGATTTTCAGTTTTCTGCTTCATGTGGACATGGTCTTTAGGAATCATTAGTATAACAGAAGGTATTCTAGATGTTTGTCTGTGTTTGTCCAGTCTCCACGTGGAGCCATTTTTTCTATGATTTCTATTCCCAATACCGTTTTCTTAAATGAATTCTGCATTCTATTTTTAAGTGTTCATATGAACATCAACATAAAAAAGCATGTCCCCCCAACATGCTCTTGCCTTATTTTAGAGGTACCCCTTGCTCAGTCATTTCTTGTTTGCTCTGTAGGGACTGAATTCTGCAAGATGCTGAGCTTTCTAGTTCTGGTCCAGCAAAGCACTTATGGATGTGCTTAACATTCAGCATATGTGTAGTTCCATTGACATCAGCAGGACTACTCACATGCTTAAAGTTAATCATGTGCTTAAGTAATTTGCTAGGTCAGGATCAGAGTGCTTAGCACCTTTAGAAAATCGTGCTCCAAGCAAAGTAACAGCGTAACCTTTATCCCATACACCCTGCCATGACAATTGCTTTTAGGATCAGTGGTTAGTGTAGATCAGTAAAAGGACAGAAAACTGATTCTGGTTGCTGTTGTCACAGGTGTCAATATTATGCAGTGATGTGGTGAAGGTATGCAAGAGAGGGAAGATAACTGGAACAAGAGAAGAAATGTATCTGAATGACTTCCTGTCCCCAAGAAGTCCAATGGTTAGCCAAGTGGGCAGATCCCATGGTGATAGATGATTTTTTAATTCAGAACAAGAGAAGCAAAAGTATATATGTGTGTGCAGTATATGGAGCTACAATAGATAGGAAACAATCATGATACTCCCCATCACTAGACATGCCATCATTTGGAGTTCAACAGGATGGGGAATAATAAGAAGAAATAAAAAGAAATAATAGTGAGGATGCTTGAAGGGTTTGGGGAGGGATTATTTCTCAGAAAAGTTTGAAATGGCCATGCTATTCCATGAAGTGTAGAAGATTAAGACATTTCAAAATGTATCTTTTAGATAAATATGCATGTTTTATGTAATATGTATTTGTTTTTCTCTAGAGTGGAGAGGCAATGGTGGCTTATATCTCCTTCTTGCCACCGGGGTGAGAAGTGCAGATCTGGGTGAACCATTCAATCTGCTGTCCCTTTAATATTCATGGATCTTTGTATAATGCATTGATATCAGTGCACAGAAAGATTTATGAGACAATCTGGTGTCATTGAAACACAGACACTTGCTTATATTCAAAAACCTAAAAGAAAATAATGGTTATTAGCCAATAATAATCATGTAAGGATATGCATTAAACTCTGCTGCTGTTCTGGTTTGACTTTACTAACTTCGTTCTGAACATCTATTCAGATTTAAGGAAACAAGTTCCAAACTGCTTCGTACTAGATCCTAAAACTTGAATAAGTAAATACAATTTTTTTTAAAAAAATTGACCACAAATTTATATGTAGATGAACAAACTGAGGTCCCTGTGATGCAGGAGTCAATGAAAATTTCAATGGGATTTGAATAAAAACTAGTGCTTTTGCTCCTCCTTCTGGTGAAATGCAGAACTAAGCTGAATTTGGATACTACAGGTACTTCTGTGGTGCAAGTCACAGCTACTGATGCCGATGACCCTTCATATGGAAACAGTGCCCGTGTCATCTACAGCATACTTCAGGGACAGCCATATTTCTCTGTGGAGCCAGAAACAGGTCAGGAAGCTGATATTGTTTTCGTCTACCACAAGCTGAGTAGTTTTCTTTCTTCTAGAAAACTCACCAAAAGTAGAGCAGATTTGTACAAAGCCAAGCAGTGAAGGGCTACAATGTTTCTTACTTCCTGTGTTTCAGTAACTTACAATTCTTGTAATAAATGTGAAAACCATCTATATTACAGCTACCTAAATAAAACATAAGTTACTTGTATTATTTTGGGTAGGAACTAGAAAGTTGTAATGTAGTACTAATGTTTTTGTTTCTATCATTGTACATAGAGAGAGAGAAGCTGTATTGAAGGTTCTTCACAGAGATACACAGATAATTGGATTGCATTGATAGTGGATGCACGCTTGAAAAATATGTTTTTAAAGACACATTGAAAAGACTCAGTATCGTGGTACTGTGTGTGTCAAAAATGCAGGAATGGATAACGATTGCTTACATGTTTTCCTAAAGGCATCATCAGGACTGCTTTGCCAAACATGAACAGAGAAAACAGGGAGCAGTACCAAGTAGTTATCCAGGCAAAAGACATGGGAGGCCAGATGGGTGGATTATCAGGGACCACTACGGTGAACATCACACTGACTGATGTCAACGACAATCCGCCGCGATTCCCCCAGAGTAAGCAACATTTAATAGTCCTCCTGCACAAGAAAAGCTTCAGAATTAAAGAGTTAAGCAATCGCCATCTGGTTTAATTTAAAGTAAATCTAGATTATGGGGCACACATGAACAAAAGGCTTATGTACAGATTTATTCACTGTTATTAAAGTAGAAAATTAAATGTTACAGTACTCCTTTGTTCAGGGAAATGGTTACATGATCAAATATAACAAAAGGAAACCTGGGATACCTTTCAGGATTATTTGGGGGGGGGGGTGGCAGAACCATAAGAGCATTAAAGCAATTCTTTCTTTCCTGTTGCCTATAGATTAACCATTTTTAATTCTTACTGGAAAACAAAACATGTATTAATTTTAGCAAGGAGGAAATAGGTGCACTGTAGTCCCTGCTTAAACATTTAATCATGAAGACCCCAACTCTGGGGAGGAATTACCTGAAGGAAATCCAGACAGATCTGTATTTGTATAGACACAGTGCTATAAAAAGCTGATATGCAGAGAACCTCACAAAGTGAATGTGAATGGCATTTAACATCGCTGTTTTTGACAGCTTAAACTTATCAAAGCACTTTATACTGCTTTTTTAACCTTTTTGTGATAGTACAGCTTTCAAGCCTTCATAGTCTCAAACTAGAATAGGAAACCATTATTAGCCTCTATTTATGTAACCAGTAATTGTTAGAGTCTTTATATTGCAAACTTGTTAGAATATTCCTTGAAAATTCTTTGTGGTAGGATGGTTTACGTAGGTGAACATTTTACTACCTATTTAAAACATTTTGCATATATTGCAGCCAGAACATTTATAGAGTACCCAAGATTCTGTAACAGAAAATAATTCCCATTCTTCTCTCCCACTACTTTTATCGTGGTGCAACTCCATTAACTTCAATGATGGTATGCCTGACTTGCATTGGTATACAACAGAGGAGAGTCAAGCTCAATATCTCTGACTTCAACAAGTTCATTACGAAATAGCAGGCAGTTCATAATTGTCTTGGACACACAGGAAGAAAGATGAGATGCAGGTGATGTGGTTTAATTAGGCCACAACTTTATTAGCTTAACTCCTCTGGGAACTGTCCAGCAATAACTTGTACAGTGCAAGTCATGATTCCCGCCTTAATCATTTTGCACCTCATGCAGGGCTGTCTTTAGTCCCCGCACCCTTCCACAGCTTGTTCCCAGCCTGTTGTTGGCACTCAATGGCGGGGCTGGTGAAAGATGGGCTTTGCCTCGCTGTGCCAAATGTTAAGAGCCCCAGTTCAGTTGTCCAGCTTCTTCATGGAATATCTTCCCTTAAGTTCACTTCCAACTCCTGCTGATTAGGGAACTGTATCCCCTCTGCAATCAGTGCCTGCACGAAATACCTGCCACAAGGAGGAGCCAGGAATTATCTTGGCTTCCCCACTCCCTCGTGCACAGGGACCAATTACTTACTTGAGCCCCACTTTGCCCACCCCAGGGCCGGCTCTAGGCACCAGCAAAACAAGCTGGTGCTTGGGGCGGCACATTTTTAGGGGCGGCATGGCCAGCTCCAGAATGCCGCCCCTAAAAATGTGCCCCGGCCGCCCTAGCTCACCTCCGCTGCTGCTGCTGCCGCTCGCGCCACGGCGCGCGAAATAGCTGATTCGCGTGCCGCTTCTCCCCCTCCCTCCCAGGCTCTCAAACCTGGGAGGGAGGGGGAGATCCCGAGCGGCCGCAGCGCGCGAAACAGCAGTTTCGTGCGCCGCTGCTCCCCCTCCCTCCCAGGCTTGGGAGGGAGGGGGAGACTCCGAGTGGCCGCGGCGCGGGCGGCGCTTCTCCCCCTCCCTCCCTCCTAGGCTTGAGAGCCTGGGGGGAGGAGGCAGGGCTGGGGATTTGGGGAAGGGGCGGAGTTGAGGCGTGGCCGGGGGTGGGGTAATTAAAAAACGGGGGGTGCGGCGGCCAAAATTGTTTTTGCTTTGGGCGGCAAAAATCCTAGAGCCGGCCCTGGCCCACCCACCAGCTCAGGTGATTCTTCCCACCCCTTGCTGATCACTCCCCTCCCAGCCTTCAAGGGAGAGGGAACCCATAAAGGAGCCACTACCCCTTTTTCCTGCCAGTCCAGACAAAGCTTCCCTGCTTTTGAGATTGCAGGTGTTGCATCTAAATTCTTTACTGACACAGGAGAATCAGGGCCATTACCTCAGACTTCAGCACGTTCATTATGAAATAACATGCAGTGTATTTTTCTAAATTCTCTGCTACCACTGCAGTTAATATGTAGCCATTTGTCTACTGTTTGTATTTAATAGCATGTGACTACATTGAGAAATAACTTCATCTGAAAATTCAAAATAGATAAATCAAAGACAGTTCTGGGTACTTACAATTATTTCCCCTGGGTAGAATTTGCCACTCACCTGTCACTTGCTATCTACTTTCACTTTTCCACAGCGATTCTTTTGATATGTTAACTTCTCTGTAGATGCATAGTGTACATACAGGATCGTGGCACCTCTGATGCTTTGTGCATGAAAGTATTACATCCTGCTGGTCTCAGCAGTTTTGCAGACTACTGCAGAAGATATTCTAGGTGCTGCCTGCACTACAAACTGCAGGGCAAAAGCCTCATAGATTGGCTTCAGCAGTTATATTTAGTACAGTATTTAGGCACTAAATATAGATGCAGCTGCTTATATCTGTTTATTCCTTTTTTTTTTTTCCCCTTTACCACGGGCCAGACTGTTGTCTTGAGAGTCTGAGTGGACTTTATAGAACTGCTGTAACTGAATTCTTCATTGAATACCTATGACTTTTTAGCTTTTATATTAATTGTATTCACTTGTGGCCTGATCCAACTCTCAGAGAAGTCAGTAGTTATCTTTCCATTGACTTCAAATGGAAGTGATTATAAGGCCCTTCATCTATAGCAAATGTTTACTGTATTACTTTGCAGTTGGAGATATTTTTATGGCTACCCCTCTCTTTCTGCTGATACCTGCAACTGCTTTGTTAGACATCGAGTACATTACACCAGACACACACAAATCTTAAAGCGTTCATTAAATTGATTGAAAACTTGCCAGATTCATGACACTACTAAAGTAGTATTGATTTAAAAAAAAAATCTTTAAATTGCATCTAAAACTTGCAAATAAACATTAAAATGATTCTTGACTTCTTCATATGTCTATGAGCTTAAAGAAATTGACAGTCTCTTACTATGTTAATGAATTTATAATCATAAATCTGTCATATTGATCAGACATTTTTTTTCAGATTCATGATTTGGACAGTCTCACTAGATTCATAAATGTATTAGATAAACATCTGTTTTCTGAAACCAGTGAAGACAACACTGATGTCCGTTATGGAGTGTTTACTGCGGATACTTCAGGGTACTGATCACTGTTAATACCCAGTGAGCTCAATCATCAGCTGCAGGCATAGGTCATTTGTTGCAGCTCAGTTGGGAGCACAAAGGGTATCCAGTCCTAGACCAACCAGGTGCTGGTCCCAGGGTATAAATTAGAGTAACCTGATAACAGCCACAAGGAAGTGGTTTGGAAGATGGGGAACACCAATGTGCTGGAATGCTTTGGTCACACCCCTTTTCCCATCCGTAAGGAAGGAAGGTTGAGTAGGAACATGAGGATCACCATATGATGGAGGAATGGCCAGCTAAGGTGGCTTTAGCGTCACTTTGTGGCAGCAAAGTGGCGTAAGTAACTTGAGTGCAACCAAGGATTGGAGTCCGCATATACCACTTCAGCATGTCAATCCACTTGTGATTTTGACATGGAAAAAATGCATTTTGTGATGGAAAATAAAGATGTGTTATCCTAGAACAGCCACTTGTAGAGAATAAAAATAACTAATTAGAGTACTGTGAAAAATGCAATGCATAACTTCAGTTTTTGTGTTGTGTTTGGATTGTTATGACTAACCAGTATTTGATGATGGTACATTGTCATTACATATCCCAGCAAATTATTTAGGTTTTATTTAGGTATTAATAGGTTTCACTAATAAACTGCTCAGTTAAGCTTTTAGTAAACGTGTCCCTTAGGGAACTGATTTCAGAGCTGTGGACAAATCCAGCATGTTGGTTTGGTTGTGATTTTGACATGACTAACCATGATGCCATGAACAGCTGCATTTCAGATAACTCATTATGCAAGAGCATCCTTTTGTGGAACATTTAGAGAAACATGAACATCTTTCAAATCCCAGGCCATTTCTCAGAGAGCTCATGCACAATTTCTCAAGTGCTCATCTCATGATTGGGAACAACAGTTGCTACTAAGACTTTAGCTAAAGCTCATTCTGTTTAGTTACAAGATGATGCAAGTGTAATTAGACAATTCTACCTCGGGTCCCATGTGATATTTACCAATAAGAATATCCAATACAAATTCAGTTACATTAGCCAGCTCCTATGTCCACAATTGAATTTAGAAATTGATGGGATTTGTGACTTTCAATGGGCCTTTTGCTCCTAAATCCCTTAAGCGCTTATGTAAATCTCTCCCTTATGCTACAAAAAATTGCCTAGTTTCCCACATGGAGCATCCACAAGCAGATAGCTGTCACTTTGGGAGCAGGATCCCCACTGTTGGACAGACATGTAACACTAGGTTTTGAGCTGCTGCCGCTATTTTTCAGGAAATGGGCTTAAGCCACAAGCATAGAATCATAAGATTAGAAGGGACCGCAAAGGTCATGTTTGGATCGATACACACACTTTCACTAACTTCAGTTATATTCAGAAGTGGAGCTTTGTTTTGGGATCATCCTAGCTGATAAAAACAACAAAGTTCATTTGTTTGAGTTCTCTGGACCCACAAAGCTAGTGCAATTCACAGATCTTTCCCCTCTGTAATTTAAATCCAAGTTGTTCTGGTTGAGCATAGGTGTAGCAAGCGATAGAACTTTAGAAAGGTTAATAGGCAAGAAATTATAGACTGTGCTATAGCTTTTGGTGTGAGAAAATAAGCCCAGATAGCAACAGAGCTGAAACTCTCCCATGTTAACATGTCTCCCTGGCATGCTACACACAAGTATTTTAGTATAATACTTGTTTTGAGTATAAGTATTACAATATTGTATAGTACGTGCTCTCATTTTTCTTTATTTGGATTGCAGGTCAGGGTCTCGTTGTGCTAGGTGCAGTTCAAACACATAGGGCTATATAGTGTGTTGGGGTAAAAATTTCAAAAGCACTGGAGTGATTTATGAGCCTAAGTCCCATTTTCAAAAGTGACTTTAGAAAACGTTACCATTAGACTACATGCCAAACACAGACATACACACACACTCTCTCTCCTCTCTCCCCCTCCCTTATGCAGGCTAATTGGGCCTGGACGCACAGGAGTAAGTGGATGTGGCCTGTTCACTATTTCCCCTCCCCACATATATACTCCAGGGTAGATGGACACGGAGTCGGTGGAGCTCCTCCCATTCCCTCCCCCTCTCACCTTTAAATACATTGGCCATCACAGCTGAGTGGATGCAGGAGCGTCATAGTTGGCTTCTGGTACTGGTACATAGTAAATTGCTTACCCTCCAAAACGAGGAGGAAGGAGGAGTCTCAGACTAATCTCTGAGGCACAGTGCCTGACAGGGCTATATAAGCCTGTGTGTTGCCAATTATGTTCCACCTTTTGCTCTGATTTGTGCCTAAAGGCACAATCTAACCCATAGTGAGTTCATGCCCCAAAGAATTTAAACTGTAAGACAAAACAAACAAAAAGATAGAAGGGGGTGGGGGAGTGGTCTGATACTATGGTGATGAGGGTTGTATAAGTACCATAGACCACGTCAGGATGATGATATACAAATATCTTGGTAGTTCCATTTATCTCCCCCACCCCCAGCCCCCATTCCAAATAGCCCTTCAAGCGATCCATTATCTGTTGGCCAATGTATTATAGGCATTAAGAAATGGACTTGCAAAGGGATTCAAAGGAGTGGAGTTAGTCTGGCTTTGGGGATGGTGTTCTATGTATTAAAGGCAGCACAGAACAAAGTTCAACGCGTCTTTCTTATGCACCACAAAACATTTTAAAATTTTAAAATGAAAAACAGTTAGAACATAGCTATATTCATTGAAAAAAATAAATTAAAAATTGAAGTTTTAAACACCTAAGAATATGGAAAATGAGACTAAATGTTGCCATGGCACCCTTAAGTCTTCCCCTTCATGTGTACTTTCTTGTGAAATGTTATGGGACATATGGTCTTTCCTCACGGTCTCTCACAGCACTGAATAAATATTTATTTTATAAATATGAGCAGTGGGATTTCATTGTCATTTTTGAACCATTAACAGATTATAGAGAGATTATGTACTAATGTAGCAAAGTACACAGATTTAAATATTACAGAAGGGTAATGAAAATGACAAAGTAAATATGAGCTAAATCATGGAGCTGAAAACACTGAGGTGCAAGAGTGTCAAGAAACATATTAGTAAACAGAGCTAAGTGCACTTTGGTGATACAATACTCAATCACCATTGTGCATCCTGTAACGGCATACCCCAAACCCCATGAATCTATGAGAAATGTAGTTTGGCTTAGTGTTCTGTCTTCTGTGGTATGGTGGTTGATGGCTTTTCACTAAGTGGATACAGTCTAAAGCCAATATGTCAAAGTTTAAATTACATTGGGCAAACACTATATAATAACTGGGATAGATAAACTAGTTCCTAAAAATAAGAATAAGCTTGAACCTCAGTCCTATCCCCACAATGAACCAGATGGTTTCCTTGATATGGATCTCCTCAAAAGGAGTCCACTTCTCCCCTGGCAACCCCTATTTAATCTTTCTACCATTCTGTTAAGTAACAGGAGCAACCACCAAGTGACTTGCCTAGGTCTTCCCACAGCTTTATTGACAAAAGAAGGTTGCCAGTGACCTTCCCAATTCTTCTTATGCCTTTCTTTGGGGGAACATGTCCACCACTGGCCTCCCTTAACGATCCTGCTTGCTTGGGGGCGCATCACCATCCCACAATCACGGAGAAGCTAGATTTCTAGTCTGCTGGGCCCAAGTCAGTTTTTTCCCATTTCAGAATTCTGGCACATTCTGCAACAGTATTAGCAAAAGGAGAATGGATTTAGATGGGACAAGATTAAGGGATAGGAGAGAGCCATGGACTTATTTTTAGTGAGGGAATGAGATTTCAATAGGTTTGGATAAGCATCTGAATGTTTGGATGCTTTCCTCAACTGAAGCTCCAAACCTTGGAGGTTCCCCCATTACTAATTAATATAAGCTACATATAGACAAAACAAGCAATGCTAAAGTACTTGCTACTGTGATCCTGTCAGATCTCTCAAACTCAGAAATGTTTGTATTTGCATGAGAGACCCACATGGAAAAGCCAAAGTTTTTCAGGACTTGGGGTTGCTAATTTATCAGGATACATGTCATCAACAAACTCCTCTGCATCAATACTGAATCCATGCGGCACTATGATGTAAGGCATCACTGTGTTACTGGATGTGCCATCTTGTGAGTGTCATGTTCATCTCTTTTCTTTGTACAGTAGTTTTGCCTTAGATAATGTAAACTTAATATTCCCCCTAGTTCACCATGCTTAGCATAGACAGTGCCTAGGAAATATTGTGGTAACATTACTTAGTTAACTAAAGCCACTGGAAAACAAGGTTTTTATGGGTAGTCAGTACACAGTGTAACTATCTTAGATTTCCTCTTTGAAGCAGTATCAGAGGGGTAGCCGTGTTAGTCTGGATCTGTAAAAAGCGACAAAGAGTCCCGTGGAACCTTATAGACTAACAGACGTATTGGAGCATAAGCTTTCGTGGGTGAATACCCACTTCGTCAGATGAATGTGGAGATTTCCAGAGGCAGGTATAAATATGCAGGCAAGAATCAGTCTAGAGATAACGAGGTTAGTTCAATCAGGGAGGATGAGGCCCTCTTCTAGTATCTCTAGGCTGATTCTTGCCTGCATATTTATACCCGCCCCTGGAAATCTCCACTATATTCATCTGACGAAGTGGGTATTCACCCACGAAAGCTTATACTCCAATACGTCTGTTTGTCTATAAGGTGCCACAGGACTCTTTGTCTCTTTGAAACAGGGTATTGTCATAGCAGCATCTGTATCAATTTAAAAAAAAAATCCTTTAAAAAAAATGCTGCTTAATGCACAATGTGGCTAAAGGGTTTTTCCTCCTCAAGGTCCTGGCAGATGAGGATAATGACCTCTTCCTACACTTACACATTAATGGCATAGATAGGACCCAGAATGCTGGACTGTATAGTAAAACTCTGTTTTATTTCATTGTTGATATTTATTGTTTTACCGTCATGGTTGTTTGTCAGTACTATGCTAAAGCTGTAGGGATGCTGTTGAGACAGTTTAGGTAGTACAATACCAATAAAAAAGTTTTTTTTTTTTTGTGCATCCAATTTTAACAGTAGTGCTGAATGTTTAATTTGCTATAAAAATTGATTTAACAAAACTAGCTACCCTTTTTTTCTCATGGGAGTTTCATGAGCCATTTGCAGTTTCCTGGAACTTGTTTGTTATTCAGATTTATTTGCCATATCTTCTTGAATTTTTTACCATATGGATTGATGATAAATACTTGAATTTCAAATGGTCACTTTTGTGTGATTGGTCAGAGAAGTCAGGTGATTCTTTTTGTTCCTTGACAGAATGAAAGTGAAAGCACTTCTCATGCAAATATATGCATGTGAGAATTTAAAATCTGGTTTCTGTGAATAGTTATGCAGTTGGCTTTAAAATATGCTTTTTGCAAATATTTATGCCAGTGAAATTTTATAACTAGAATATGAAAATGAAAGCACCAAGCATAGTGCCAATTTGATTCATTTTAAAAGTACAAATCAATACATATTTTTTACTTTATTCACCAAATAAATAGTAATAACCCTATTTAATTTTTTCTGTGGTGTCAAAGTATATTTAAAAATTAACTAAAAAATGGTTCTTTCTTCAAGGAGCTCAGTCAGGATATCACCCTTAGTATTTAGAATCTGAAAAGTGTTTGCCATTCAATTATAAAGATTTTAAAATAGGTCTACTTTGTGTCTTAGAATTAAATGTCATTTTAGCAATTGGGTATTTTATGATTACAGCCCTTTTAGTATTAGGCATAAAGTAACATGTAACAAAGAAATTATACTATAATTTTTAATGTTTTAAAAATGAATAGGAATGTTTAGATAATGAGCAATAGATAGATGCTTTTAAGGGGAAAAAGTCCTCTGATTAATCAAAGGGAAGAATTACATTTGTGAGTATCCAAGGCTGTAGCTATGGACACATGTGTAAGTGAAATAAAATGATTGTGGGACACATGAAAAATGAATATTCTGTATCTATAATAAATACCTATCCTACAGAGTATGATTGAATATTTTGCATATTTAGTCATACAGAAGTAGAGTGATTATTAGTATCTGAAACGTACTAACACTATGTAATATTATATTAAAAGAACACTAAGGTTGCAAAGTCAAGCATGTAGGTCAGAAAATATCAGAATTAAGTTTGTCTGCACCACTTTAATTTGTCCCACTTATCTATATGCATTTATATAGATTGCATAACATAACCTAGGAAGTCTATGGCAGAGCCAAGAATAGAATCCTGTTCTCCCCTCTCTACTGAATGAAGCAGAATTCTTGCAGAACAAATAGTATATGATAATATAATTAAAGACTGTATCATAATGCACTTTCTAAAACTTGCTGTGCATATCTTAACTTGTTCTGCTTCTTTTTCTTTGCAGACACCATCCACCTCCGCATTCCAGAATCTTCCCCAGTTGGCACTGCCATTGGCAGTGTAAAAGCCACTGATGCTGACACTGGGAAAAATGCAGAAATGGAATACAGAATAGTTGATGGCGATGGAACAGATATGTTTGACATTGTGACACAGAAGGACACACAGGAAGGCATCATAACTGTGCGCAAGGTGTCTATAACAACCACTGAATGATTTTGGTATAGAGGACTGATGTAAATCCCAGTGTTGTACATTAAACACATATAGAAACAAAAGTAGATCATATTATGATCACCCTTAAAAGCTCAACATTTGCAAGAGCTACCACACAGCTGTATCTTAGAGCTTGTACTGTTTCCCTGTACTTAGAATAGGAAATAATTGGTATTTGAGTTATCACTGAGAAGTAGGAGTATAAAGGGCCATCTCCAATATACTGCCACGATCATCACTGATTTTAGTACAAGTTTGTTTGATGTTTGACTGACAGTTTTTCAGCAGGTGCTAGAAACAGGTTTCAGTGTATTTCAGAGAAATACTGCACTGCTGTAGTATAGGGAATTACTGTATCCAAAATACAAGTGCACAGTAACTCTTTTTTGATAACTGTAGTATCACAGGGCAACAGCATCACAATCAGTAACTGCCAGCCAGGGCTTAGTAGCATGCAACCTTTACAGAGTAATCACAGCAGTTAAGAGTGTGGGATTTTCTAAAATACCTAAGACAGTTGAATACCTAACCATAGCTAGAGCACTGTGGATTTCTTAGCACTGGTCTACATTACAAAGTTAGATCAGCTTAACTACATTGCTCAGCCAGGGCTGTGAAAAATTTCATGCCCTGTGCGATGTAGTTAAGTCAGCTTAAGCTCTGGTGTAGACACAGGTAGCTTGACAGAAGAATTCAACAGAAGTTGACCTACCTACCACATCTTGGAGAGGTGGATTTACTACAGCAATGGAAGAATGCCTTCCATCACTGTAGTAAGTATCTACACTACAGCAGCACAGTTGTTGCTTTTCAAGTGTAGACATACCCTTAGTTTCAGCTGTGTGTCATTTTCACAGTGAAAATGTATGAAATACATTGTCATGTATGTGCACACATGCTTTGTTTAGTCCAATTTTATGATCAGGTCATCATTCCTGCAAATTTCCAAACAAAGTCATCACTTCACACCATTTTCCCCAAGACCCGGAAGCATTATGAATTTCATACTTCCTGGAAGCATCAAGTGTTCCTCTTCCTCTGGTGCTTCAGAGCACATACATTTATAAATGAGCCAAAAATATTTTGCTTTTAATGTTTTTGCTGGAACTTGTGGCTCATTGAACAAGGCATAAGGTGAGAGCTCAGAGTATTCTTATTCTTGTATAAGGATTATGGATCAGTCCTAAAGTTGTTTGATTTGTATTGGTGGTAGAGTTAGCTTGTTGCAAATAATTTAACTGACATAGTAGCTCATTTTTTCCACCTGTTTCAGAAGTGTTCATGAGCTCCTCCTAGTTTTTGTGAATATATTTGTTTTACATAGAAGTATTCATTGAGAGTTTATGGGAACAAATTTGAGCCTTTGGGTTGTTCATAAACTGTTGAATTTGACTATTTGCTATTGATTATTCATGATGTATTTTAGTCATCTAAGTCACACAGTTGTATAGTTCTGTTCATGCTCTCTGATTAGACCACTCAAACTTTATAAATGGGAGAATAACGAATTATGGTTACAGGGCTAGCTGGACATTTGTCCTCTTTCTGTCTTAGTATGTCTTCTAAGAGCTCAGGCGTCTTTCCTCTACGTATCGCAGGGTGGAATTTCACAATTTCTCTGATTCCTAGACCAGGCCCTGGGCTACAGCATGCGGTGTATAAACTGTTATTACCCTGCATGCCTGACTGAGCTCAGGCACCTGCAGTTTTTCCCTTTAGGAGTCTTTGATCAGATAGTGACCAGACGGCCTTCTTAACACCAAAGTACTATTTATTGTATCAGTCGGGACAAAACGTTACAGAGAAAAGGAGAATTTTAAAACAACGAACAGTCCACACATATGACTGTCTTACCTAGACTCGTATCATCCCCTGATAGTAACGTAGGCAGAACTAACTTCTTCAGACCCTGCAGTGGGGTTGTATGCCTCAGACTGCTTTCCCTGAGCAACTACCACCTCTCTCTTGAGAGAAGGCCCTTTTAATCCTGTCAGAGTTCTTTCATCCTTTTGTGTTCATAGGCCTTTACCTGTTCTGATCAAAACCATTTTTGTGGGTTGGTTGGAAAGGAGGCACAATCATTCAAGTTAATGATCCCAATATTGTTTAACTCTTACATGTTTGCTAAGAGGTGGCTTATTTTGGGCCATTCTTTTTCTTCCTGCCTTTTTTTTCCCAGGCAGATTCCTGTTGAGTTAAACCAATATAGTCTTAAATAAAACACCCCAATAACCAGGCCTACACATAGAATTCATAAATTATTACAGAGCAGTTCCAAATCCATCACAAATAGCTCATAACAAAGAACACATTTCTGGACTAATAATTATGTGTGCTAAAGCTTTTGGACTTTTAAGGGTTCGTGCTCCTCTTCATGAATGAAAATGAATAATATTGCCCCACAAATAACAGGGAACCAAGCTCACTGTGTGTGTATTTGTGAAAATATTCACAAGTCAATTTTTGTATTATTCAACCAGTTCTAATTGAGGATTTCCAGTGCACCTTCCAGTAGTGAACAACTAACACACAATTGAACTTCTACTACTCCACCCAAAATGTAGATTAAGGGCCCCATCCAGCATTAATTATAATGAAATTTAAGTACATGCTTGAGTGCCTTCCTGAATAGGGATGGGATATCTTAGGACTTGTCTTTGTGTACAGTGCTACAGTGGTGCACCACTGCAGCTGTGCCACTGTAGTGCTTTCGTTGAAGATGCTACTACGCCAACGGGAGAGCTTCTCTTGTCAGTGTAGTTAATCCATCTCCTGGAGAGGCGGCAGCAATGTTGATGGGAGAAGCTCTCCCATCGATGTAGCGCTGTCTACAAGGAGGGTAGGGGGTTAGGTGAGTAAAACTATATCGCTCAAGGGTGTGGATTTTTCACATTTGAGTGATGTCATTACACCAATATAGATCTGTAGTGTAGACCTGGCCTTAGGTGCTGACAGGTAAGCACTTGTTTAGGTATTTTGTTGACTTGGGGTTTAAAATCATACATGTGGTGGACTGCATTGCTCAGAGGATTTGGTAATGAGCTGCAAGGCCTTTCACTTCCAACTGATGGGTTCATACCCAGCTTGCATCATTAGATGCTGCAAATTATTATTATCAGATAGCCATTTTTGAGTTTCAGTTCCTTGTGGACAAATTGCTGCATTTCAACTGGTATCTTTAGTGGCAGTCTCAGTAAAAAGGCATCGAGAATGGGCTTGGAGACATAATTACTCTTCCTTCTACTCTGATTTCTCTTCATAACAAGGTGGAGCAGAGAAGGAGGAGGAAAGTTTCCATTGCCTGTACTATACTTCTTCTGCTGATACATAGAATATTTAAATCCCCAAAGCTGTCAGTCTGGCATCTTTCATGAGCACTAATTTTATAAGTTTTAGTGGGGAGGGGAATTTTTAAATGAGTCTCTAGAATCCATTTTGATAAGTGAAAACCACGGGTTTGATATATCCCCGTTGTTTTATGTGAGCTAATGAAGTCTGCTCTGCAGTCAGACAGGTAAATTCTCAGCCTGCTCATTCTCTATATATCATTAATTAGCTACCACTTTTCATCTGTGACAGTTGCAGAGAAATTGGGGAATGGAGTTTCTTGTCTACACAAAATGGATTCTAATTATAACCCCGAACCCTTCTCTTTTCATTTTAAAAGTAGCTGCTGACAAAATGTCAAATCTATTTTGCAAAAAATTCTCTGATCTTGGATTCATGAAATTCAATGAAAATGAGCAAGTTTAAGTACTGATTTTTTCCCAGTAAGGTTTTAAATCTTTGGTTCAAAATAATTTTTTTTGCAACATTACAGTTGGCGGCTTAGGTCTGTTTAAATTTATTTCTCCTTAAACAATAAAACTCAGACAAGTGTATGTACATGCCTTTTCCACATAAGAATGGCCACACTTGGTCAGACCAATGGTCCATCTAGTCCAGTATTCTGTATTCTGATAGTGGATGATGCCAGATGCTTCAGAGGGCATGAACACAACAGGGCAATTATGAAGTGATCCATCCCCTCTTGTCCAAGTCCCAGCTTCTAGCAGTCAGAGGTTCAGGGACACTCAGAGCATAGGATTGGATCCCTGACCATCTTTACTAATAGCCAGTGATGGACCTATCCTCTGTGAACTTACCTACTTCTTTTTTGAACCAAATTATCCTTTTGGCCTTCACTGCTTCCCCTGGCAATGAGTTCCATAGGTTGACTGTGTGCTGTGTGAAGAATTACTTCCCTATGTTTGTTTTAAAATGCCTGCTGTTAATTTCATTGGATGATGTCTGGTTCTTGTGTTATGCGATGGGATAAATATCACTCCTTTATTCATTTGCTCCATGCCATTCATGACTTAGACCGTTCTGTTAGCTTTTTTGTCTGCTGCTGCACATGAACAGATGAACTATCCACAATGACTCCAAGATCTCTTTCTTGAGTGGTAACAGCTAATTTAGACCCCATCATTTTGTATGTATAGCTGGGATTATGCGTCCAGTGTGCATTACTTTGCATTTATCAATATTGAATTTCATCTGCCATTTTCTTGCGCAGTCACCCAGTTTTGTGATAACCCTGTGCAACTCTTCACAGTCAGCTTCGGACTTAACTATCTTTAGTAATTTTGTATTGTCTGCAAACTTTGCCACCTCACTGCATACAGCTTTTTCCAGACTATTTATCAATATGTGGAACTGTTCTGGTCCCAGTGCAGATCCTGGACTGTGCTATTTACCTCTCTCCACTGAGAAGACTGACTATTTATTCCTACCCTTTGTTTCCTATCTTTTAACCAGTTACTAATCCAGGAGATAACTCTCCCTCTTATGCCAAGACTGCTTACATTGCTTAAAAGCCTTTGGTGAGGGACCCCGTTTGTTTGTAGAACTTTCTCAAAGAATTCTAATAGATTGGTGTGACACGATTCCCCTTTACAAAAGCCACTTACTCTTTTCCAACTAATCGTGTTCATCTATGTTCACCTTCCTGCAAATGTTTCCTGAAGAAATTTGGCATTATGGCCCCGATGCTGCAATTGTTCCACTAGCACAAGTCCCATTCACTTCAATAGAAAGGTCTAGGTGTGGAATGCTTGTCAGATTTGATCCTGTATTTGTGAAACATCAGCAAAATTCATCGAACAGTTGCTAAGTTTGTAGGTGAACGTTTGTACAGAAAAATCTGTTTTGAGAATAGCAATTAATACGTTTCACTTTTGGAATTTTTTCAGATTTACACTAAGCAGTTCTACCTAGCTGCAGGTGCTACTGTAATACAAGTACCGGTAATAATCAGTGATGATTCCCACTGAAGTCAATGGACGTTTTGGTTACTTAAGGAACTGGGTCCCTATTCTGTAGAGCTGTGGAAAACGACTCTCTGGATTTTCCTGTGAGGTTTTGAGTGCCATTAGCACCTATTAATCACAGTGGAGTTACACCATTTTACATCAGCTGATGATTTGGCCCATTATGTCTTTACTTCCCCTATGTATCCAATGCATACAGTGTAATTTAATAAAGTTTTTATCTCCTTTTTTCCTTCCCCATAGCCACTGGACTATGAGACGAGAAGGCTTTATACACTGAAAGTAGAGGCTGAGAATACCCATGTGGATCCACGATTTTATTATCTTGGGCCTTTTAAAGATACTACAATTGTAAAAATCTCTGTGGAAGATGTGGATGAACCTCCTGTCTTCAGCAGATCCTCTTACCTTTTTGAGGTGCATGAAGATATCGAGGTGGGGACAATCATAGGAACTGTGATGGCACGGGATCCTGATTCTGCTTCAAGCCCTATCAGGTAATGTCATGGTCTCTCTATATACCTTGTGATTTAAAAAAAAACAAAATACAAAAACAAACCAGAAAATGTGTGGAGAAAATGGTTTCCCTTTCAAATTGCAGTTGATGAATGTTGAGGTAGCTTTTGCACCCTGGGACTGGGGAGCGGAGAGCAGGGATGAATTTCTGAGGTCTGAAGGAGAAGAACCCTTCTTCTGTACAACTACTAATGTCCACAAGGGAGAGCCCCTCACCTGCAGACTGTAGGAGATACACAGGAGGTGATCTTTACCTGTGTGCATGCATAAGCTCCCTGGTATCCCCTTAGGCAGTTCATCAGCCCTTCTGAGCCTCAAAACTGTAGAACTTCCCTTGCTCTGGGCCTATGCAAGTTGATCTACCCTTGCCTCCTACTGTGAGCCTTAGGGTCCTCATTATTGCCCACCAATACATCTCCAGGAGGCTTGTTGGCACCACCCCAATTCTCCACCACCACTTTCAAGCCCTAGATGAGCCTAGGTAAGCTTTCCAGGCCCTCCTGTGCCTAAGCCTGTGGGGTTTGGAGACCCCTGATACGCCTATGGTCCATGGGAGGGTGGGGGTTGTTGAACCTCCTAATATTTTCTCATGTCAAGCTCAGGGGACCCAATGGTAGGATAAAATGCCACTCTAGGCTACTCCCCTTTCTTCTATAATCCTCCTAAGGTCCATCGGAGCAGGTCTTCCTTCCTTCATTGAGCTGAGTCCACTAAGATTTACCACTATCCTTTTCACTTGGTTCTGCCTCCCCTCCCAACAAGTATAAACTTTAGAAGAGAGACAAATTACATGAAGTAATATCTTTTACATATCTTTTATTGGAGCAACTTTTGTTGGTGGAAGAGACAAGCTTTCAAGCGTCACAGAGCTGTTCCTCAGGTCTTGAGAAGGTAACAAGGCTGTCTAAACTAATTACAAGTCAGGACAGATTGATACACCTATGGGGTTCACACATGTTGTAGGAGACCACTTAAAATAAAGTGGACAGGTAAGGGTTAGCAGCTTGTGGGGTGTGTTACAAACTGTTGTAATGAACCATAAAACCAGTGTCTCTGTTAAGTCTGTATTTTTTAATGTCTAACAAAGTTAGGAATTTACATTCCCTGGATAGTCTTTTGAAAGTATTATGCAGCTTTCCTTTGAGGATGAGAACTGAGAGGTCATACATGGAGTGATCTTGTGTGAAAAGTTTTCACCGCAGGTGGTGATTGAAGACTATAAGAGGGGGTTTGGGGAAAATTTACTTTAGGATGTGATCCCCATCGAGTATGGGATGTGATTGTTTAATGATACCCCATATGGGTTCCAACATGGGGCAGCACGTGACAACTAGGGGTGTGCAGTCAGTGGAATTTTTGTTTGTATTGACACAGGTTCTCCTGGGTATTTGGGTGTCCCTTTCCATTATATCATTTACCTCTTAGGTAAATGTGTATCCCAGACTTTCTCTGCAGAGCTAATTCTGTGGTATCCGAGTACCTGGCTGTAAATAAGATTTCTTGGTGTGTACGTAAATGTAGTGACCTGTGGGTTTCTTGTATATAGTTGTTTGTAGGGTGTCAATATTGAAGCTGATCATGATGTCCAGGAAGTTGATGTTGATGTGGGTGTATTCTAGAGAGAGTTTGATGGATTGGGTGGTTGTTGAAATTCATGAGGAAGTATAGGTTGTCTGTCCAGAAGATGAAAATATCATTGATGTGTCATGTACAACCAAACCAACAATATATTGGAGATGCATTTGTATATTGCTGGATTTGTGATGCATTTTTCGACAAATTCTTCCTCAAAGTGGCCCATGAAGAGGTTGCTGTATTGGAGAGCCACCCTAGTACCTATGACTGTTTCCATGGTTTGAACAAAGTGTTTGTTGTTAAACAGGAAGTTGGTGTGGGTGATGTCCAAGTGTTGTACATTCTCTTGTAGGAATTTCAGGCAGGCAGCAATGCCCTCATAGTGAGGAATGTTGGTGTATAGTGAGGTGACATCCATGGGGGCAAGGATGGCATTCTGGGGCGGGGGTTGTTAATATTGCAGAGTTTCTGGAGAAAGTCAGTAATGTTTTGGCACAAGTTGGCCCTTTGTGCTGTGAGTGCTTTGAGGAGGATTTCTGAGAGTCCTGATATTCCTTCAGTGAGAGTACTGTGCCCAGATTATGATGGGTCTGTCTGGGTTCCCTTGTTTGTGTATCTTGGGATGCATGTAGAAGGTCCCTGGGGGATGAGGCTGTAGAGCTTTTTCTTGGACTGTTTGGGGAAGGATTTGATGGTATCTTTAAATTCCTTTGTGAACTGGTGTGGGGTGGTCTTTGAGTTCCTTTTAGTAGGTGGTGTCAAGAGCTTTCTGTTGGCCTCGTTGATGAAGCCATCAGAATCAAAGACTAGGATTGTGCCTCCTTTGTCTGCACTATGGTGGCTGGATTTCAGGGACTGCATACCAATCCTTTCTGTGGTAGAGAGATTATGGGGGATGTAGTGTTTCTCTGACCACTACATATTACTCCAAATATGCTGAACAGCTAAGCAGACCTCAAAAAACTGAGGAAGTATCTCCTGCACCTTACATATTCCAGAATGGAACACTTCAACAAGAAAATATAACATTTTCCCACATACTGGATGGAAAAAAAAATCAGGAAGCCTACCTGGAGTCCATGCAGGAAACCCAAACCAATCTCTGAGCACTAAGCTTTAGAAGACTATTAGGACTTTGGTCGCATTTGACAAATGTGTCAAAATATGTGTATGTCTTGTCTGATTTACTTCAAATATGGTAGACACAAAGCATCATTTACCATCTATGAGGCCAATATTCCTTTGTTTGTAGATTTTGAAGGATGGTAAAACTGGGCTTGTAAAGAAAACTGAATTGCAGCCTCACTTATGACGACTACTCTGGGTGGAAGAGTAAGATAGCAGATGAAAATTTTGAACCTCTAAAGCACCCAGTATTGACAATGGATTTAAATATTTCTCCTTTATCCATTCTAACTTCATGTGACAACTGAAAATCTAAGTAGTCAGGTTTTAGAATCTGTGATCTTAAAAGGAACAACATTGGTGGTTTCACTTGTGTTGTCTCTGACACAGCTTGATGAGTGGAACCACTTCAACAGAATAAGCTATTTGCCCCCATCATGCTCTATTATTGATATAGCATAATAGACTGAAGATGCTGTCACATCATCACTCTCTGTCATGTTAGTGTTTCTTCCACTGAATGACAGAAGGTAATTCAGTACAGGCAAGACACGTGAACTAATGGGAGTAATGGCAGAGCTTTAAATAAAAAAAGTGAAAAGTATCAACGAGTCTTGATTTAAGTTGTTCAAGGAACAGATCAAGGCAGGACTTTCCACATATGTGGTAGTAATACATATAAATGTGTATGATTCTTTACCTTTTTTGTTATTTCTGTTTTCTGCTGGAAAAAACTAACAAACAAATTCCATAGTAGGGGTCAAATTCAGCCCTCCAGTGTGCATATGTTGACTCTATTAATTTCAATAATAGCCTCACACTTCTATTCAAAGAATACAGCTCTTCAAAATGAAGATTATAACATTTTAGTTACTACCAAACCATCACCAGACAGCTATAGAATAGCAGATATTACAGGAGACAATAGACAGCTAATATTTTGCCTTCTTTATTTAGACGGGTTGTGTCCTTTTGTAATCAGGTTAGCCTGGATAAAGCTTTAATGAGATTTGCTATTTAAAAAAGAAAACTTTGGGCAGCTTAAGAAGTTGCCTATGTTTCTTTTTTCTTCTCGTTTTAACTAATGGAGATGAGCTGCCCTCTTCCAAAGCTTGGTGTAATCTGAATCCAGGTCCAGATCTGCATTCTACATGCAATCTTTACCTCTAAAAGGGTATGCCTACACATCCTGGGGCAGCGAGCCTCCTTGTCCAGTTTGAGGGGCTTGTGGGCTTGTGCTACTACGCTATAACTAGCTGTCTAGATAGCACTTAGAAATCGCAGCTTGGGCTGGAGCTCAGGCTCTAAAGCCCAACCCTCTCCCTAGGTTTCTGAGCCTGAGCTCCAGAGTGAGCCCCAATGTCTACAGAGCAATCTTTAGCATAGTAGCGCATGCCCTGTGAGCCTGCGTTTGTCGATCTGAGCTGGGAGGCTAGCTGCTGCAGGCTGTATAGGCACACCCAAATAGTCCAAACCAAAGCCAAGATCCAAAGACCCCTAATTTTAGGCTGGATTCAAAATTCAGTGTTGTATCTGAATTCTGTAGCTCAGGTCTTCCCTTTCATAGAAATACGATTTTTAAAGTGAAAATAGGCTACAACTACAGATAAACTGTGTGGCCTGCTGCTTCCTGTGGCACTATTCTTTTTTTAACAGACTTGAGTAACAATAGGGCTATTGTCTGGGATTTAGAAGATCTATAGTAGCATCTGCAGGCTTTTAAGAACACTGGGATGATGTAGAAGGTGTATGGTTGCATAACACATACATAACCAAATATTTTGGGCTTATAAAGATAATAGGATTGAATCTTATTTATCTGGGTTGTGGAACTGTGATGTGAGAAGTAACTCAAACAGCTGCATCACCTGTACTTTCGAACTTGACTTTTCTCCACATTAAAAAAAATACATTTGATGGCTACAGAATCACTGCTAGGAAATATAGACATATTGATGAAATATAATTTCACCAAAATTTGCCAGGCACTAGGGAATTTTCCTTAATTATAACTTGTAATTTGGCCACCTGGTTCAGAACTAACACAAACCTTTTACCCCAACTTTGAAGCACATATTTTGTGTGGTTTCAAAATGTTCATATCGGTTTATTTTATATCTGTCATTTTTGCATACCTCTGCACTTCCTGGTTTAATTGGGACTGGAAGCATCAGAATACCATGAGAAAGGCTATTCCCATGGTACACTATTTCCAGCCTGGTGAAATCAGTAAGCACTGGGAATACAAAGACAGGGTTTTGTGAAGGTTCTAGATCATTCATGTACATTCACAAAAGTACCCAAACTCTTGGATGATTCTCCAAACAAGATCATACCTGCATACTATTAGAGGTACTGGACAGGGTTTTCAAAAGAACTCAGTGTTGGCCTAACTATGCTCCCAATAAGTGCAGAGTTAGACAAACCTTCAGTGCTTTTGGAAATCCCATTATACACCCATTGAAAGGCCCCGATCCTTCGTTTACCTCCAACCCATCCCTGACTTTAGGGGCAATTTTGGGTGCATGAGAAATGCAGGTTTGGGTCCTAAATGCGAAGAATCAGAGAGCAATCTGATTATTGATTTCAGTTTGCCACCATGTGACAAAATGACTTTCTCTACAAGTCAATGGAAGGTTTGCCCATATGAGTATTTGCAAGACAAAGGCTTTGCAGTACTGTACAAGGTTCCTTAATATCAGTAGCTTCATTAAAACTGAAAATCCTGCCAGTTAACATACTTTTAACATTTTTTATTTTGATTTTTTAAAACTTGATTTCTTTTAAATAAATCTACATTAAACTAGGAGGTGAAAGCTTGAAACAGTTATTTCAAAAAGCTCAGAAATGAGTCATCAGTCTGACATGTTTTTTCAAACTGAAAGAGAATTTTCCTCTCAGGAAACAAGTGTTTAATTACTGATTTAAACAATGTTTCCCCCCCCCCTCCCTATAATTATTCATATTTTAATACAATATCATTTAGTTAAAAAGAAAACATTCACAGAAGCCTATGAAAGTTACAGAATAAATTGCAAGAGTAAATATAATGGATAAATCTATATTGAGATCATTCTTAGGATTTGTATTTTTCTGTGTATTAGGTTAATATTTTAAGAATTATTTTAAGTATTTTTGTTTTTAGTTTCAGGGACAGTCATCAACGTAACTAACAGATGACCTGCACAGCATTTTAAAAAGCTTAAACTTGCAGTAACTAAGCATTTATTTCATCTAAATTATCTCATCTATCATTTCTGATAGAATGTGTAAAGAATCTGAATGTTATACAGATGTATTGTAAGGTAAAGTTGCTTCTTTTCATTTTCAATCACTTACATAACAATTTTTTTCTTCCTTTATCATGTTTAGATTTTCTTTGGATCGTCATACTGATCTTGACAGAATATTTAATATACACTCTGGAAATGGATCCATCTACACTTCCAAACCACTTGACCGCGAGATATCACAGTGGCACAATCTTAGTGTTATAGCAGCCGAGATCAGTAAGCCAAATCTTTTTAGTTTTCCTTCGTTTAAAAAATGATTTAAATACTTCTGGCACTCAGAATAAATTTATTAAAAATAAATAGCATTAAGTCCAACTGCTGGTGCTCTATACATCTTTTCATTCATCTCAGACATTTACAAGAAGCCATTTTGATTACAAGTAAACAGAATAAACCCGAGGTAGCATTAAGATTACTACATCATTGCACCTAATTCCAGTCCCACTGACCCAAAAGATTTTAGGTGACAAAAAAATCTGAGATTCTTCAAGTCAACTCATGGGGAGTATTCATTATTAAATTCTCTGTTTTAGGGAAGCACTGTATCACTGGTAAAAGCAATACTTTCTGATGATAAACATGGCTGGTGCCACCATTCTTCAGACTGCTGGCCACTGTGATAAATGTGTTATTCCATAGTATTTTCATACTGTGGTAATTGAAGGCCCTTCTGTGCTTAAACTGAACTATTAAACTCATTTCTTTGTGAGGATATTTTGAGAGAATTTAACTTCTCAACTTAGTTGTAGTAATTAGGTCTCTCTAAAAAGGTATGCTAATATTTTTGGAAAAGTTCAGGTCTTTTAAGGGCAATCAATCTGCATAATAATTGCTTGAAATTCATACCTGCCAGATTCTACAGTCACCATCCCTTTATAATGTATTTCTGAGCTTCTTTGAAGAGAAAAGGCAATATTGGAATATTTAGGACATTGTTTTTCATGATGTTCAGATTTTTGTTCTGTTTGCCATTTTAAAGAAATTTACTATGTCAAGTAGATATAGCTACAAACACTGATACTGAGATACAGTGGAACCATAACCTGAATTCTTCACAGATTGCTCCCAAGATACCACAGCATGTCATATACCCAGTCAATACAATAATTCAGGATCCATCTTCATTGTTTCCTATCCTATTCCAGAAATAAAGCAAAAACATAAAAATGATTAATATAGTTCGGTAGAGGAGTTCTCAGAAATGGGTGATGTATGCATGATTGCCTTGCACTAAAGAGTAAGTACCTCAAAAATTAAAAACAAATAAAACCCTATTCAGTTTAGTGCTGCAAATTTGCACCCAATCCTACTCCCACAGAAGTCAGTGGGAATATAAGCTCTTTATTTGGTTGATTTAAAAAACAGCTATTATAAATTTATATTTTTTTCTTACAGTAATTTAAACATGTAGCCCGTGATTCAATTCTGACTTACACCAGTTTTACACAGGTGTAATATTTTTTTCTTTAATTAAGTCTGCCAAGTTCACTGTAATTTAAGGTTTCCTGTGCCAGTAATACATTTTAACATTTGTAGAAGGTCTCTCTCTATAGCTATATTATATAAATATTGTATTTAAAATAAATAAGGTTTTTAAAATATTTAAGAAGCTTCATTTAAAATAAAATTAAAATGCAGATCTTATCAATTTAGTGTGATCCTTGCCTGGGATCCTTGTCTGGGGTTCCAGCCACCAGCCCCGCTCAGCCCGATGCCGGTCTGGGGTCCAGCCGCTGGCCCTGCTCAGCTCGCTGCCGGTCTGGGGTTCCATTCACTCAGCTGGCAGTGGGCTAAGTGGGCCGGTGGTGGGCTGAGCGGGGCTGGCGGGGGGGGGGGGGGGTGGCTCAGCCCGCTGCCGGTCTGGGGTCCTGGCCACCGGCCCCACT